ATGGAAGAAGTACATTGTTGGGGACCTTAACAGTTTTCATCCCAAATGCTGTTTTTAGAGCTAGTCTCCTGTTCAGAATGATTGGTTTTTCAATGTTTTTTTTTTTTAATAACAGTAACCCCACCCTCATGTTACCTACAGCTTCAGCACTATGGATTTAGTGTGAGGTGTATCATTAATAAGAGTGAATGTAAATCTTTATTTGGTCTCCTAATGTGTTTTAGTTTTTATGGCTCACTCATTACGTCTGATTATATGGCTGTGGTTTTACTTCACGATGGAACTGATCAAGTTTGTGTATTAAGAGTAAGATACTTGCATTGTCGTTTTGGGGGTTTTGTCATTATTTGTGCCTTCATTATTGATGTTCTCTTCATTCTACCAGTTCTTTGCAGGAATGACATTTACTAGGCATAAATGTTTACTAATCTATAACCTGGATTAGCACTGATACCCCCATTTGGTCTGTGTGTCAGATGTTCACCTGTCATCCAGGGACCCATGTCATGCCTCCTTTACATTCTTGACCTCTAGTTAAATCTAGGGTACTTATTAGTTCACTCAGCTGAGCTCTCACATATCCCAGTCGGCCACAATATGTTGACTGTGCTGAGAAGGAACAACGGAGTGTCTATTTGATTTCATTCTGGAACTGTCCTACTCCACACTGGCCACAGGACTTTTTGGGTGCCTTGTATAGCAAGTGAACTCCTGACATTTGGACTAAGTGGGGCTACCCATGCCAGTCTGTGTATTATATACTAGTACAACATTTATTTTGTGATTATCACTTATCTTTTAAAAAGGGATAGGATAAATGATCTCTACACTGGAAAAAAATATTTTTATGGATTCTCTATAAAGGACTAGATATATCAAAAAGTTAAGCATTAAAAGGGGCTATTGAAAAAGTGAGTTATATTTATGGAGAAAATTGATAATACAGTGATAGGTATTATAGGGAGCAAATAGAAGTTGAGAAGGTAAGTTTGTAGATAATTGACATTAACGTGTGAATCATGCAATGACTTCACTGAAGTTTTGGTGAAGAGAATGGAAAAAAATGAAACTTTCAATTAATTGTTAGTACTTAGTGTTTGAATGTAAGTGTGAAAAGGGCCTGTAGATTTCTGTACTCACTCATTTTAAGTGGTTTTAGCAAATTTCTGTATTTTACTATATAGAATAGTATCTTTTTCAAATCTTGTCACGTGAACTAGGTGAACACGTTTGAATAGCTGTCACATGTTTTTTTATTCATATGTATCAGTAATAAAGGCAAAATTCAGTTTAGTAGTTATATGTACATTTTTTTAAAGTAATGGAATTTCTGTGTATTGTTTCTTTTGGTGTGATGTGTTAACAGATTTTTGAATATGTTCCCCAAAGGCATACGCATGATATCTCTGGTGATGGTCAGTAAGCCTCTGTTATATTGGGGAATACTAATTTTTTGTTTTTGTAGATGAGTTTCCAATATCTGTGGATTAATACAGCTGTCCTGATAATAGGAAGCTGTTCTTTTGAAATACACACATACAAATCTTTGACTATTTTAACATTTTTGTCTTGTTTTCTGCTGATCGTAAGCATATAGTTAAGATTTAGTAGGCTATCTTCTTGGGTGATGGTAATGTTGCTTCACGTCAGTCACTCAGTAAATTAACTGAATGTTTAAAAACGCCAAATTTTTATATTAGACATTTGCTTACCTTTTTTTTGCTTTCGTGTAATATAGAGTCTGTGTAGATTATGTGGACAGAGATGTGAAGGAGGCAGTGTTGGTACTAAATTCTCAATTTTCATTAAAATTCTTTGACTTGAATGCAAGAAATTTTAGTCCTTCCTTTGCAATTTAGAGTAGTGTTCATCATCTCTTAATAACCTTAAATGTATTCTGCATTTGTTTTTTTGTCAATTAGTAGAAGAATCAGAAAAGGAATTGTGAAGTCTATCCCATATATGTATTTAACATAGTTTATCTATATAGTATATCTGGTTGGTAAATGGATTTATAACCTGGCTTTTCTTTCAGTTGCTCTTTTCGGCACTCATTAGACTGTTGTGATACTAAGAAGAGGTGTACAAAGAAAGGATAAATATGAGTGAAGGATGAATGGAACCAAGGGAAATAAATATGCCCACTTAAGTTAGAAGGCAGAGTTATGGTCTACATGCAGTCAACTAACTTTTAAGTTACAACAGAGTCCTAGAGCTAGGAATTATAAGGCTAATGGGACAAAAGTAGATAAGTAGACCATAACTTAAATGTTTAAGAAATAGTGTCTATTTGGGCTTGAGAATTACTTAAGGATATTAATAATATAGAGAGTTGGGAATTACTTTAGGATATGAAGTCTGCGATTATGTTTTAGTACAAGCACTACCAAATTTAAAATCTTTACCAAGATTAGCTGAAAGGTTTTCTTGGAGGTGTGAAGTTTGATGAATGTATAATGAATGATCTGTACATTGAAAATCTTCTATTCAAAGAGTAACCTGAGTTTTTAAAAAATAATTTTGGAAGTATTACTATAAATATGGTATTAACTTTGTCCTTATCATCAAGGTAACCCTCAAATTTGAATTCAGTACACTTGGGCAAAAATGATAGGATTGCTTTTTATCCCTTAGCAAAATAAAGATTTCCTATAAAGGAATAGGAATATATTTAGAGTAAGTAGTGTGGAATAAATAGCATACTTGACACATTAGGATTTTTTTTATTTGGTGCCACTGATGATGTATATGGCCTTGGTCACAAAACCTCAGGTGCCTAACCTTAATAGGTTTCGATTGACCTATTGTTAAAGACAGAATACAAAGCTATAATTTTTATGGTGGGAAAAGTGATAGTGTAGAGTAGAAATTATTCCTAGATCATTCCAGATCTTCAAACATTTACAAGAGCAGAGTAGTATTTGACTGGCTTGGATTTCAGACTTTTCCTCACGTAACATATTCAAATGGAGATAGTAAGGATTAGAGAAATGAGCAATAATAGGAAGATAAATGAGGCACGTGTTAGGAAATAAGGGGTAAGGTCCTGAATGACTAAGCTGATTATTGATTAAAATAATTGTGTATTTGGGGCCACCTGGGTGGCTCAGTTGGCTCAGGTCTTGATCTCAGGGTTGTGAGTTCAAGCACAACCTCGCATTGGGCTTGAACTCACACATACACACACACAAATTGTATATCTTACTATTTTTAGATTCTAGTCAGTGTTTGAAAGGTTACTGTAGTGGGTTACTTAACATTGGCATAAGTTTCTTAGTCTAGAATGAGACTAATAAAATGACTCATTATTTAACAAACCGAGGGCTGTTAGTTTGCTAAGGAATTTTATAATTAAGTAAAACCTTGTTTTATAGCAAACACCTTGCGACTGACATTCTAATAGGAACAAAATTGGAAAGTACTTCTAAATATGTATTTATATGAAAATACTATGATGGTAAGTTGGCGAAATATACTTCAAAACTGATAGTGCTTTAATTCTCTTTAAATTTGCCATGTCTGGTTCCAGCAACCGTCATTGCAATTATTTAGAAGTTTATATAGAAAAAAAAAAAGTTTATATGAATGTCCACTCAAATAAAAGCTAAGAGTTCTTCATGTCCAAGTACCAGACCAAAAGGAGATTGTAAGTTGAATACTGAAAAAACCATTTTCTCCCAGTAAGGGCATAAATGTGGTGGCTTCTAGCCTGCCCCAGCTAACTTTATTTCACTCTTTGTTCTCTATTACTACTTCATCGAATAACCTTGGGCAGAATATTTAACTTTAGAGCTACAGTATTTTCATTTATACGATATTATCTTAAACATTTATCTTATTGGTTAAAAGGATAAAATTGTGTGTCTGTGTGTATATATATATATATTTTGAAGATTTTATTTATTCATGAGAGACAGACGAGGGACAGAGACCTAGGCAGAGGGAGTAACCGGTTCCCTGCAGGGAGCCTGATAAAGGACTCGATCCCAGGACCCTGAGATCATGCCCTGAGCCAAGGGCAGACACTCAACCACTGAGCCACCCAGGCATATATTGATGGTACTTACTCAAAAAGTTTAATGTTGCTGAAATTATCAAAATAATATTTACACATAATGATTGAATAATATTTACATATAATATTGTCATATCCATAATACTTATATTTGAAAATACATAGTTATAATAGTTTTAGTATATTCCCTTATTTGGGTGTTTATAAGATAGAGTGACTAAATTTTTCAGGACTGTATGAAATGATAATTGCTAAGTATGTTTTTAAAATCCTTAACAAAATTTATGGTGCAGGCTGGGAAAGATAAATAGGTATTTAGAAATTATGTATGTTTATAGTGAAGGGACAGAGAAGATTTCCCATTTACTTTTGTAGGAGAGACACTACCTTTAGTGTACTTTGTATTAGATGTTCATGAATTAAGGGAAATAAATTATCTTCAACAAGTGCTGTTTTTATAATACCTCTTTAAAAACATTTAGTGTCATTTTCGACTATTTATTAGGCTTGGGATTTTTTTTTTTATGTCTTTGGTTTGCCCCATCTTACAGGCTTTTGGTTTTTTTAATAAAACTTCTTTTATGATTTTACTAGAATAAAAATGGTAAATGTATATATATTGTTAACTAATGAAAAAAAATTGTTTTATCTTTTAGAGTAAGAACTTGAAATAGTTTTCATCTTTTTTTCTGTTCTCCTCCAGATATTCTTTGCCCATAGAAAATAGATTAACTCATTGATATCTGACTGGGGATATTATTTTCATAACTTGAAAAAAAGCAAAGCTGAATTATGCTTAAGTGACATCTTGCAAGGAAAAAGGGTGTTAGCATAATCCTACAAAAAGAATCAAATTTGGGGTCTCCTAAGCATGCTATTGGGTAACATGTTCAATCAGTCCTTGATCATTTTTGAAATTAGGCTATGCAAACTCAAAAACTCTTTTTAAAATTGTTTGAAAAGCCTAATTTTTGTTGCTTTACAGATGTCCCATTTAAGCAGACCTCTTCCATAGCTGTAGCTGGAGCTGTAATTGGAGCTGTCCTTGCTCTTTTCATCATTGCGGTCTTTGTGACTGTCCTGCTGACTCCTCGAAAAAAGAGACCATCCTATCTTGACAAAGTGTAGGTAACTTTTTTGCTTGTGTTCAACATTCTGTATGAGTCAGTCTTTGTATTTATCTTTACAGCTACTCCTATGTAAGGTATCTGATGAATGAGAGTAAAGATACTCTTAGACCTTGTGAGATGACCATGGTTTCATCAGAATGTACTATTCTGGTAAAAAGTGTAATGGGGCCATTGAAGACAAATATATTAAACACCTCTTCCACCTATGAATATATTAAGCATCTTTCCAAATAAAATGTAATGACACTGTATTTTGTCCTGCCTTCTGAATAAACATGCAGGTCTTTGATGAAGTGTGGTTGAAAGAGAGGTTTGAAATATCTTAGAAGTTTAATTGTTTCTCTGGATTGTATATGCGAGTCCTAGGTATGGATAGATCTTAACTTTCAATTGCCAAGAATTATCAAATACATCGAGTTTTAAAACTTTTCTTCCTTAAACAATTTTGGTTTTGATGAATTACAAAATGTGCAACTTTTTTATTTAAAGAGAAAGCAGTATTTAGGGTGTAGTCATTGAGCTAAAAATGCTAAAGCAGAAATTGCACTTTGCTGTAGAATCAAAAAACCAGCGTCCTAATACACTTAATTCCATCAACAGCTTTGTTGCTTCATCTGTGAAATGTGAAAATGATTTTTCCTACTTACCTCCCATGGTTGTGATGAGTAGAAGAAGATGATATTGTTTATGAAACTGTGACATTTTATACAAATGGCATTATTTCTTATACAGTTATTATTTTTGTATTAAGAGGCTCTCAGTGTGTTTTTTCTGTCTTCATAAATGCTGTGTGTATGTCTCGGCCCCTCTAATCTGGCACAGTTATGGGATAGATCTTCTTGGATTAAAGACACCTGAGTGTTAGTCTCAACTCTATCCTGATCAAAATAGTGGTATGATCCTGAACAGATCACATCACCTCCATGGGCCTTGGTTTTCTCACCCAAATGACCAATAGCACCTTGGAGCTATAAATTTGCTGTAATTTTAATTAGATTAAAGGAAATAATTACCTTTAAAGAACTGCAAAGTATCTTTATAACACCTGTAACAAGGATTCTTTAACATTTATAGTTACAGTAATTTTTATAGATCTTTACTATTTCAAGAGTAACTAGCTTGTGGTTAACTTTATTTCCCAAGATCCCAAGTTATCTCAGGTTTTTCTATAATTTCAAACATAATTTACTAATAGGCTACGTAATTACATCCATGTAACCATTTTATTTGTTGTTTGAATTCTGTTCATTTAAGATATTATTTCATGCCCACATTGAGGAGTTATTAAGCCACAGAGTTCGTAATTCCTTTGGCCTTTAGAGATTTCATTCTTTTTATTTTTTAATATAGGTAACATTTTTGTTTGATTTAGTCATCACAAGTATTGAAAATTAGTTATCTGTGAACTTCAAAAGTATGAGAAGATATAAAAATTGTTTTCTAAAATGCAGAGAGCTTACAAGATATACTTAATTTTTATTGTAACAATAATGCTTAAATACATGAAAATGTAGGTTTTTAATAATTGATTAGTTTTTTTTTTCTAAAATAAATATATTCCCTGAGGCTGTAATAGGCCCTTTGTTCATTTTAGGTGACAAGAGTTATATGGTCTTTAGTTGAATAATCTTGATTTGCAAGATGGATATTCTAAGAGTAACCATGGGTTTTGAAAATGGGTTTTGAAATTCCATGGGTTTGCAAATACTTCCAAAATACAGTGTAACTTTTTTCATTATCATTTTAAGATACAGTTTTTTAAAAATCACTTTTATGACACTTTGCCTTCCATTGCACGTGTTTGACTCTCTTTAAAATGATGGTAGGCATAGTCAGATGGATACTTAAGTAAATTGGTTATGTACTAGGTTACTTGCTTAATAATAATTTTCAGGAAATTCTTCCATTTGAGTAACTTCTTTAAATGAATCAGTTAGATTGGTTTTAAATATTGGAACTTTAAAACCAGGCTTTTTTCCTCATCTGTGATAGGGTAATGGAAATATAAAAACTAAATTAAGCATGTATTACTGTGAGGAAAATATCCTCAAAACTTAAGAGAACCTTAATTGTCCCACCCCCTTTTTTTCTAAATGTTGCAGTCACATTTATTAACCTTTTTAATGCAGGATCGACCTTCCACCCACACATAAACCACCTCCCATGTATGAAGAACGATCCCCCCCCTTGCTTCAAAAAGACCTTCTATATCAGGTATGTGTTTGTGATTACACTTAAAATAAAATGAAATAAAAAATTATAAGTAATGTATATTGAGTATTATCTAGTCACCATTAAATGTTGCATAATAATACATAATCATTTCTTTGAAACCTTTAAACGATCAAACTTTTCCAAAAAGGTGGTAAGAAAAGATGTGATAGCTGGTATAGATAGGACAAATTCTCTGTCTTAACAGTAGAAATTTTTACTAAAAGCTTATGGCCAAAGACTTACTATTAATATAGATTTATTGACATATAGAATCATTGTAAAATATACATTTTTACATAAAATTAAAGAAAAATTGAATGTCTTTGGTAGGATATGAGAAAGAGCTTTTCCTCCTTGGAATATGTATTTTATTTTTGTTTCTTTTCAGTATACTCAAGCTCTAAATTTTAGCATTCCTTTATTTAGGAACAAAAAGTTTATATTTCAATTTAAAATGCTAGGTATGAATATTGGTCCCTATATTACATTTATGATAACTTTTAAATTTTCTTTTGATATCAGTTTATAATAATTCATGTGAAAGAAGTAAATGTTTCTATCTCATATTCTATACCTAGATTAATATGCTTTCCTTTGGAAAGTTGAAACCATTGGAATATTTGAATACTTTCATTCCTAGCATTAGTAGTTTTGGTTTTGGTTTTTCCCTCTAACATCCATGTTACCTTTTGGGGCTCTAACCATATATTGTTTTTTTTTAATCTGTAGGAATATTCTATAATATTTTTCTCCCAAGATATGTTTTGTATCTTCAGCTCAAATAAGGCTAATTATTTTCCCGCCAATTAATTTAATTTGGTGGAAAAACTCCAAGGGAATATATCTGTCAGGATGTTCTCAGCTTCTCTATCTTGGTTGGCCATATAGTCAGTCTACTGCCTGAACCTGGGGCAGGAATGAACATTCTCTGGCATCTGCACTCATTGCCAGGTGGCACCAGCTTTGTTGTCTTACATAAGTTTGGTGTCTTAGGGGTGAAGGCATGCCATTCTTTTCAGACCCCTTATTTTCACAGAAAGAGTATAGTTTCATATCACTTTTGGCAAGTGAATGAACTTGACAAGTAGTGTGAACTGTCAACAAAATATTTACCTAGAGCTATTGTTAACCCTGCAGAAAGAAACTTATCTTTCTCCCTCCACAAAGCTAGCAATTAATCAGGATTTTTAGATTCAGTTTTGAGAATTTTCTTAGAATGTTGTGGTAATTTTCTAGTATGACACTAACTGCATATAATTTCATTCTTGTTTGTAAAACTAATTGATTGTGTAACTTATTTAATATCTTTAGATCATATATTTATAAAATCTTATAAACTGAGAAAAAATTACTTGGTTTAGATCATCATGTGTCCTTGGTTTTAGTTTAAAAAATATGATGTTATAAATGTATTTGCTATCAAATAAACGCAAAAGGAAGATTTTTCTTGGGTGATTTGAGTTGACAGAGCTAAAAACGACAATTCCTAGTATCTTTGGAGTTAGGGAAGGCTCCCTGGGTTTTGGAGGTAGGAGTTATGATGCATTTAATGCAATTACTCAGTTGTTGATTAGAATAATTTGTAGTAAATTGCATACCCAAAAGTATAAACCTGAGTGGATATGAAGAACCATGTGGAAAAGTAATGGAAAGATGAGAAAGAAAATTGAGAGGAGAACACCAGCAATGAATAACAAACATTGGACTTTGGGAGTCAGAAACCATTTAGTAACATTGTGACTTTTTCTTCTTGAAATTAAGCAGGTGAAAATGTGATTCTTCTAGCTATAAACTGGTTTTAGAAAATATTGCTGAGGGTTAGCTATTTGCTGTCATTTTGCTTAAGACAGAACTTGAGTTGGAGGTGAAATAATTCCTAATTCTATAAAGCTTTTAAGAATAAGTTAGGCTAAGGGCGCCTGGGTGGCTCAGTTAAGTACCTGACTCTTGATTTGGGCTCAAGTCATGATCTCAGGATCGTGAGATCAAGCCCCACTTCAGGCTCTGCCCTGGGCGTGGAGCCTACTTAAGATTCTCTTTCTCCCTCACCTACCCCCTGGCCTCCCAGCTTACGTGCACATACTTGCTCATGCTATATCCCTCAAAATAATAATAATAATAATAATAATAATAGGGCTAAAATCATTATCTATCTGTAAGATAATTTGTTATGATTCATAGATTATAATTTCATGTGTTAATTATATGGCTGTTTGTGTTTTAATTAATGTTGTGATGTCAAAATGTAAAATACACAGAACTGTGTCATGGTTACCGAGAAAATATGTAAGTATGTAATTACTATCTGATTAGTTTTGTGCAATGATAGCATGTTTTAATACTAAATGCCTTTGTAATGTTCCACTTCACTAGATAACTTGTCATCTTTAAAGTGATGTGGTAATTTCTGCCTGAAATCATTAGCCTTCAGCCCTCCTAAAATGAGAAGGTCACTAGGCCATGCTCCCAGGTGCCTCCAGTGGCTTTAAGGAAGAAGCATCCCACTAGTTCTACTCATCAGTGTTCTACCCTTGGGAAACCACAAGAACAAGCACCTCCTCACTACCCACATTTGTCCACCTTGTGTGACTCTTGTTTTTGTGGTAATGTTGCCAACACTCATCCCTGAGAAGTTTCCCTTTCAACGTAAATTAGGAGAATGAGGCCTAATATTGTGAAGAGGCAGTTTCCTTGAGTGGGAGCTATTACCATACTGCAGAGAAGATGCATGGAGGCATGCATAAGTATGAGGGAAATAAAAAGGAAGTTCTTGCCTGAAGGCAAATATTAATTAAGAAATACCACCAGCTTGTCACGATTAGGTAATCTATACAAAATTTGAATCTTCATTTAGGAAACAGATACTAACTAATGACATTAAAATATTTTTTTACCTGTTTGTTATGTTTTATTAACATCTAGGTGATCTATAAGCATATTCTTGGAACAACAACAAAAAATCAAAACTACAGAAATTTATAGTTAGCTGTGAAAGTCCTGTTTCATTACTCCATCACCAAATACACAATTTCCTTCTCCAGTGATCACCACTGTTACGAATTTCAATATTCTCTCACACTTTTTTCCATGAATTTACTTTCATGTGTGTGTCATCCATATTTATATCTACAAATAGGTTTTTTTTTTTTAAGATTTTATTTATTTATGAGAGACAGAGAGAGGCAGAGAGATGGGCAGAGGGAGAAGCAGGCCTCCCAAAGGGGGCCTGATGCGGGACTTGATCCCAGGACCCCAGGATCACACCCTGCGTTGAAGGCAGACACTCGACCGCTGAGCCACCCAGGCATACCGGATAGCTGTTTTTTTGTTTGTTTGTTTGTTTGTTTTTTTAACACACAAATGTGATCATAGAATACATACTACTGTAGAAATTGCTTTCCCGCTCTATTAGAGACCAGTATTTTTCAGAGTGGCCCATGTTGCTTACAGTTGTAGGGGGTTTCTTTATCTCATTCAGATTCAAATCCAGTATGAAATACTGAACACAAAATTTCTTTGAATTAAAATTTTGAGCAATACTTTGCATTCTATGAATAATGCTATATTGTAGCCTACATTTGTAATAATTGTATAGAGAGAGTTGTATACTCCAATGCGAAAAAATATTTCCCAGATCAACTAAAATGATCAAGGGAACATTTGCAGGAAAAATATATATAACAAATATAGTCTGATTCTGGTTCAGCCTCAGATAGCATTTATTCTTGGTGGGAAGTCAAGTCTAGTAGATTCCATGAAATAGATATTGTTAACTTGCCTTTGAGGGTCATAGCAGGAATTTCAGTCAAGCAGTAATACTGTAGAGAGTGTGGTTCTTGAAGTTATTTGCACAATGCTAACATATTATTAAAAGCTTCCCAATCTCTTAATTTGAGATTTTTTTCCTCCTTGGTACCCATTTTACAGAAGTAACCATATATCAGATGATTTTTGGTAAATTTGTTAATTTTTAGCAACCTTGAAAATGTTTTATGAACAGTATTTCAGGTGTTGGAATACACAGATCAGTTTTCATGATTTAAAACACTTGTATATGTAAATATGTGTATGTGTGTCTTAAAATTCTGTATGATTAGGTGAGATATATGCATAAAATGCTTGTGTGACTGAATTCTAAGCTGAACTTAGCTGCCTTTTTTGTGGAACACCATTTTTGCTTAAAAGAATAACTAATAGACTATGCCATTTAGACTTGAGTAATTTTGCAGACATTTTCTCACAAATCAGTGAACTGAATCTGTCACTTAGGGCAAATAACTGACAGTATTTGTTGCCAACAAAAAAATTTGAGGTTCCAAGTAAAAATTATAATTTTTATAAAACCTCTATCTGCAATCATGGGATCGACATTGGTGGGCAAATTAATGAATATTCTTTTTTTATGTTGAATAACGAGAAGTACCAGTGTTTGTAATAACTGCATAACTTAGTGAACCAATGATTGCCAAATGAGCAGTGTATACTGGTCCTATCATGCATGGGTAAAATATCCATTCAAAATATAAGATAAATGCATGGATTTCCATGTAAGACAGTATGAAAAGTTCATTGATATGTTTTCAGAGAGCAACTAGCGCCCAAAAGAAACGTACACTTGTTAAGTTTTGGTACAGTAGCAAAGGAGAATTTTCTTAATTTTCTGAAAGCAGTTTTGAAGTGTCTCTCCCTTTTCTAGCAATGTGTTTGTGTGAGGCCATGTTTTCTTCATGTATTTCAACCAAACAACCTATTGTAGCAGATTGAATGCTGTAGCAAGTATAAAAAATCAGACTTTCTTCTTTTGACTCAGATAGTAAAAGGATTTGCAAAAATGTAAAAAAATAAAATAAAATGCCACTCCTCACTAATTGTCATTTCGGAAAACATGGTTATTTTTTCATGTAAAAGATGCTATTTGTATCCTATTATTCTGTTTATAAATTAAATATTTTAAAAGCTTCTTAGTTTTAACATTTAATAGAATAAATATAGTTAGCTGT